CCCCCCCCCCCCCAGAATCCAGAGGACAAACTGAATGATCAGTGTAAGATTCTGAATACTTTATCCTACTCATCTAGGGTAGTTTCGTTTTTGAACTTGACATCTTTATTATGAGGTTTTGGCCATTTCTCGCCACGCTGGCCAGACAGATTGGCGAGGGGTAGAGGATGTAGGGAGGGATATGTGATTTGAAGAGGGGAGGGGTTTGAGGATCAGACATGATTTCTCTCTGTTATAGGAGTTGGGAGAAAAATCACAGCTCACGTAGGCAGAGTCGTGTCCCTGAAGTTTTACACCGGGTTCGTATAGGAATACCTACTCGCTACCTAAAGCTTTCCGAATATTTCTGAGTATTTCTGAAAAATGTTCCAATTCGTATAAAAATTATGAGAAAAATTTTCACTAGGAGAGAAAGAAATATATTAGTATCTCTGTCTAACCTTAATGCGGCGTAATGAAAATGAACTTATTTGTAGTATAATATTTTGAAAAGCTTTTGGCTCAAATCGTCTCGTGTCGCGATTCTGATTAGAGGGTCTCTAGTATTACCCAAGAATGTAATTAATGGCATGCCTTGGATAACATTTGTTAAGATCAAGGTCATTGAACCCAGTAAACACAATGTTACATGTAACACTGTAGTGTTATATTACACAATGTATTATATTAGTTATCTTGTTGAGCTGATATTGCGATTGCATGTTACATATACACAGTGTTGGAACAGATATCGTTTGAAAGGTATCTAGATATAGATATAGGTATTATGTGGGAAAAGTATTTATAGATATAAGTATAGATACATTTTTTTATAACTACCTAGGTATAGATACAGATATAAATAAAAAGTATCTGAAAATTTAGATACTTCTTAGGTGCTTTCAATAAAAAAAAAAAAAAGAAAAATTGGGGGAAAACGGAGAGAGTAATAAGCAACGTAAATTAAATATCACACTTTATCTTTATTTGTTTATCTTAATATATAAAAAAAGTCTCGAACATATTAAAAAAAACGTAGAGATCTCTCTAACATCTTCAAAAAACATAGAGACTACAAAACATAACTTTGTAATGTTGTACATCGCTATTTTTCACGTTTTTTTAACATTAATAAAGTTTCAAATATTGTGTGGGACAATCGGTTTCTTCTTGGAGTTAAAATTTGGCCACCTGCACTGAACAGCCTTTCAACAGGTGCTGAAGACGGCAGAATAGTATTATACTATCTAAATACTTTTTGAGTTAAATTATAATTTATTAACGAGTTAACAGTCTTGCTTCTACCTTCAAAGTAGCGTAAACATTCCATTTGTATAACGTTTTGCTTTCTATTGAATTATTTATATTGGAATTCTTGATGAAATCATGAAAGAAATCTTCATCATTACTTATACTCGTTGAAGAGTTCTCTTTATTTGTGCTTAGTTTCCGTAGGTACAACTTTTCACATTCGCATAAAAATAAAGTTTTTACTAAGTTGTATTTATCATCACTATTATTCAGCCATCTCAATTTAAATTTTGGATGTGAAATCGTTGCCAAAATGTAGGGTTTGGATTTATTACAAAGGATTAAACGGTAATATACAAGCTTTAAAAGATGACTAATTTTATTAAGGTAAAGTTATTTCAATATAATATTTAATATTCGGAACGTTTCGACTCATACAGAAGTCCTCTTCAGTCTATATAAACGTTATCACATGATAAGCATTAAATTAAAGAATGTCGCTAACAATAAGAAACGCATGATGTAAAGTGCATGATGCAAAGTAGTCAGAAAGAATCATAGTACATCCAAATAAAGTCAAACAAATTATAGCATCAAGATGATATCTTCCTTTTATCCGCTCAGTAACGAAAAAGGAAGGTGTCACATACGAATAAATTAAATTCAAGAATCTAATGAACAAAAAATGAATGAAATGTTGAATATGTAA